AACCTGAATGGCTTTGTGAGAAAACAGACAACACTTTCCATCCATATTATGGGCTCTTTTATACCCCTCTGTTATTCCTCCCACCTTCACTTTTCTCCAGTGGTTGTAATACTTCCCAACTACTCCTCTTTCATACTAATTATTTAGGGTCTCTCATGAAGCAACTTCTTCAGGGGTGGTAAACATTTCTGAGCACAGGACTATAGTGGGAGTCACCCCATAGATGTACCATTGTTCATGAGCAATGCTGATTCCATAGCTGAGAGGGATTTTCGTAACTCCTGAACTCTGGAGTTACTGTCCAGATTAATACTGAAATTCAAATTCTTCACTATGCCAGCACAGTTTCTAATGTACTCTTCATGTTTGTTGTTTATCATCTTCATGAGGAAGAGATTGAGAATTCCAGCCTATTTTAGGAGCTTGCTATTTTATTGAGAGAAGCAGAAGATATCTACTACACTAGGACACTGCAGAATACTAGAAGAAGTATTTCTGAAAGATCCTATAATTTAAAGCAAAGAGACCATTTATCTATATCTTTGTCCTCCAGCTGAAACTTACCCATTATTTAAAGGAAGATTTGTTGTATTAAAGTGAGGGACAGTAGGATCCAAACTGCCTCCCAATGGCAAATTTCCACCAATAATGAGATCACCAGGCCTATAGTAGCTTTGATTTAATGGGATATAATCCCTGAACACACACATGGTTTGCAGTCTCTTCATTGTAGCTGGAGGCAGGAACCAGAAGAGCAGCAACACCAACTGTAACATAACCCTTGCCCAGTCTTTCTTATCACCTTCTGTCCTAGGACAGAAACAAAAGTTTATGCAGAAACTCATCTGAAGGTTGTTCGTGAATTATTACTTGAACATTAGCAGATCAGACACCACCTGTGTCTCCTGGAGGTCCCCAGGACAAATTTATAGCAACGATTCCTCCTCTTACCTGTCTTTGGGCTGTGATTATAAAGGAAACAAAGATATGTGAGTCTCTTTAAACCCAGGAATGAGCTCTTTGCAAGTCAGGCTAAGGTCTCATCTTCTGCCCCCATCTGGAGAACTCAGTCATGTTTTTATAGCTTGGAGGTTTTTGTATCTAGAAATTCACAGGGGACACACTAAGAATTACTGTACTTCTGATGATTACAAGGAAAAAGCAATTTTCTATCCTTGTAGCAATAACTTCTCATACACCCAAATGGAAAAAAAAAACATGTTTGTGTTTCTTGTAATGCACAAAGCAGATTGAGTCATGCTGAAGTTTTGAATTTGACTTCTGTGAAACTGACCCCCTGCAAACAAGATGGAGTTTGGCCTGGGCATAGTTGATCAGCTAGTAAGAATGCTAATGGGGTTTGGTGGCACATGAGAATCAGTCATAGCCTTGTAGCTGTGAGCAGCCATGCCAGTGCTTGGATGGAAGAACTAGGTTTTTTTTTATAATGACATGGTAGTGGATAAAATTAGAACCTAGAGAAACAGTGTCTAAAATTGTGATTGTCTCCTTTATCTGAAGGTGGTTCCATTCAGTGTTGATCAGTGGAAAGATATTGAGCTCAATCCAATCACTTCCAGAGTGCATCAATAAGGCCTTCTCACTCAAGCTTGAGTATCATTTGTATGCTGATGATACTCAGTTGTATAACCACCAAGTGACCTAGCAATACTGCCAAGGTTTTTCCTTAGTGCATGAAGGATGTTTGATGGGGAGGAACAGTCATAGTTAAATCCTAGGCTGCATCAACCAAGGGATAAAATCAAGATCACGTGAAATGTTAATACCACTTTATAATACCTTGGGAAGTGCATACTTGGAATTCTACATCAAGATTTGGTCTCTATGATATAAAAAAAGTTGTTGAGACTCTAGAAAAGATGAAGAGAAGAGCAACAAAGATGTTGAGGGGGCTGGAAGCTAAAACATATGAAGAACAGTTTCAAAAACTGGGTATGTCTAGTCTAAGAGAGAAGGACTAAGGGTGACATGACAGCAGTCTTCCAATATTTGATGGGTTGTCACAGAGAAAAGTCTATCAACCTTTTCTCCAGAGCACCTGAAGGCAGGAGAAGAAGTAATGGATGGAACCTTATCAAGGAATGATCTAATGGGAACTAAGGATAAATTTCCTGACAGAACAATTAATAGAATAGAATAGAATAGAATAGAATAGAATAGAATAGAATTCTTTATTGGCTAACTGTAATTGGACACACAAAGAATTGTCTTGGTGCATATGCTCTCAGTGAAAAGGAAAGATACATTTGTCAAGAATCATAGGAACAACACTTAATAATAGTCCTAGGGTACAATAAGCACTCAAATCATACCAGGAAACAGTCAATAAAAATCATTAGGATACAAACAACAAGGTTACAATCATACAGTCATAAGTGGGAGGAGATGGGTGAAAAAGGATGGGAAGACTGTACTAAAATCATAAATTGCAGAGATTTATTAAATAAAAAAGGAGAATTAAAAACTAGGAATCAACTACAACTTCAGGGAATTGAGATAGGATGGTGGCCCTATCGCAGAAAGGACAGTTTGGCTTCTATACAACCCAACAAGAGCTAGTTAAGATATGGCAAGGAGAAGAGAAAAAAAAGATTAGCAAAATCTGTAAATATCTATTACACTAAAAAATGAAGGAGGAAACTGTCAAATAATGCATGATAACTTGGACTAAAAATATGGGCCACAATATTAACTTATACCAGTGGGAACATCTTTGCCAGATAAACTATAGGTTAATGATGTTGGTCTCTTATAAAGAAAATTTATACAAAATGTTTCATCGCTGGCACTTACTGCCAACGAGGCTAGCCAAAACATTCCCTAACATGACACCCAACTGTTTGAAATGTAATTACAATCAGGGAACTTATTTCCACATGTGGTAGACATGCCCGCATGCATAAACATTTTGGCAAAAAATTAGAACTTGGACAGAGGACATAACAAAACAGAAAGTAAAATTCAAACCAGAAATTTTTCTCCTAGGTGTCTTAGAATCAAATATGGAAAAGAAGCATCAATACCTGATCTTGCCTATTATATCTGCAGCTAGAATAAGTTTTGCTCAGAATTGGAAATTGGCTACGACCCCCACAGAAAGCAGGATAATCAGTAAAATACAGGAATGTGCTGAGATGGATAGATTCCCCAAACTGCTAAAAGATAAACAAGACAGTGAATATTACAAAACATGGTAATATTCTGGTATGATTGGCTAAAGAAATGGTGATCTCTGATGACCTGGTAATATTTGAAAAATAAGAGTGATGTGTAAACAATTGTAAATAAATTATATGTATCTATATAGAGAGTTTAAAAGGATGAAGGAGTTATTTTGACAATGTATAAGACGCTATCAAAAGGAAAGTACAAGTGTATCTATTGCTCAAAAAATGCTGTAAAATGTGCATACATGTTTTTAATTTTATAAATATTGAATAAAAATTATAAAAAAATAAAGAAAGGAAGGATGGGAAAATTAATAGTAAAAGTAATAGTGATGCAGACTTAGTAAATAATTGACAGAGTTAAGGGAATTATTTATTTAGCAGAGTGATGGCATTCAGGAAAAAACTGTCCTTGTGTCTAGATGTTCTGGTGTGCAGGGCTCTATACTGTCGTTTTGAGAGTAGGAGTTGAAATAGTTTATGTCCAGGATGTGAGGGGTCTGTAAATATTTTCACAGCCCTCTTTTTGATTCGTGCAGTATACAGGTGCTTGATTGAAGGCAGGTGGGTAGTAATTTTTTTTTTTTTCAGTAGAAGGGTTTGTCTCCAGAAGTTGTAGGTGCTCCGACACTGGAGGCTTTTAAGAAGGAACTGGACAACATGGTATGAAGTCTCCTTCTTCAGCAAGGGGTTGGACTAGAAGGTCTCCAAGGTCCCTTCAAACTCTGTTATTCTATTATAACATGAAGAACAAGAAAACATTTTCAGATTTGCAAGATTGTATTAAAACCAAGCAGTTGTGAATAATTGTTCCTCCCCGAAGTGGAACTTTTCATCTTTGATTCTGCAGGACAGTTTCCTGTCTCTCTTAGGACTCTTTTGCAATCTGGAGGTTTTGTGGATTATGAGCTTCTGCTCAAGGAGCAGTATGGTGGCCATTTCAAGAAAAGACTTTCTAAATGATATGTCAGGTGCAAAACATTGAGACCACATGTGAAGTTCCAGTTAGACTGATTTATTACTATTTATGCCTATCTATAGGAAGCTAATAAATGAATGGTTAGTACTATCTTGGTGTTAGATAAGGGTCAATGGAATTCAAGAGGGACTGGACTTAGTCCATTTGTGTCTAAATAGAGTTTCCTCTTGATTCTTCTTTTGTCTCCATGCTCCATTTCTGTCATTCCTCCTTACAACTTCAGTTTGTTAAACAGAATAAAATTGAGCTGTGGAGAGTCTGAGTGTCCATGAGAACAACAGAGAGGACAGAGGCAAAAGTGATGCAATGATGGAGGCTAAAAGGCTTCTGTTACTGTGAACAAACCCACAGTTGAGATGAAGCCAGCATGTATTATCCTTGAGAGAGGGGATAGTTCCCCTACCTCTGATAGTGGACTCAGTTTGACTCCAACTCAAGGAACAGTGGCTGGACCATATCGTACTGGACTATTTTGGTGGACCCTGGATGAATCTTCATTTCAGTGAGGTTTCAGGATTGGGTGTGGGATGGAAATGGTATTGGTTGCACATTGAGATGAACTTAAGAAGGAGCAGGATGAGGGCAGTGCAGCTCAACATGGCCTCTTGGTAGTCTTTAATGTCATCAACTGTCAAGCACTGGAAATCAGGAGTCCAGGTGACACAAATGAATATAAGGTTATTGTATGCTATTGATCTCTAGAAGTATCCAAACCACTAACACTGAAAGCAAATTTGGCTGTAAAAAAGAGTCAACAGAATTCAAAGAGGACTAATTCAAGGACTTAGATCTCTTGGAGATGTGAGATGAATGTTGCATTTGGAGCATTTGATCCCTCCATCTGGCTCAGCCTTGTCATCTCCTACATCAATCCTGGTTTCCATCTGTATTGGCTCTCTTATTGGCCTTGACAGTCCTTAAGAAAGATGATCAAGATTACAGATAAACCTTGATACTGAATCCAATCCTTTAAAATACTACTTTAAAAATAAACTAAATAAAATAAGGAACAAAATAAGAAATTTTACTCCTTGAAATAATAAATACAACTTTTTTCCAGTTTAACATTTTTATTAGGTTATAAGATAAAATACAAAAGTAAATAGGAAGGCACAGTAGAAGAGGGGAAGGGGGAGAGAAAAGTAAGGAGAAATTGGGGAATAGAAAAGAAGAAACATTGATTCCGACTCCCTCTGTTGCAGGGAAATAAAGCATTAACATCAAACCACAACTTTGTGTTTTTTCATAATAATATAAACTATCCGTTTCTATAAAAACGTATCAATCTAATTAATAAAACCCAAAATCAAAGCTTCAGATTTTTCCACTTCAAGTTCACAAGCTGTCTCCATGTGGAAACAAAATTACTTATATTCTTTCTTTTAAGCAAAATGGTCAATTTAGCCATTTCTGCCAACTTCATCAGCTTCTGTAGCCATTCATCCATAGTGGGAATCCAAATGCCCTTCGATTTTTGTGTGTATAATAGTTTTGCTGCTGTCAACATATATAAGATCCAAGTTCCATGTTTTTTCTCAAAGTCCTCTTCCATGAAACCCAAAAGAAAAGTTCTGGTTTCATTTTTATTTTTGTTTTAAGAAATTTCTGTATGAACCTTACTTCAATTTTTTTTTGCTTTATCACATGTCAACTCATACAACTTGCACCCTAGTCAGCACTTTTTTATTCTCCTACCAACAGGAAGGAGATATAGAAGCAGAGGCAGCCGCATAAACAGGCTGAAGAGCAGTTTTTAGCCATGTTCTCTCAGACTCCTGAATGGAAAATAAGTCTACAACAACATAGTACAATTGACTTGTGGGGCTGGTGCAACATGCAATAAGTTCCCAAGGTGCAAAAGGATTGTGTGTTTGTTAGCAGGATTCACTGGGTTTGGGACTTTCTGTCTTTTACTGGGAGTTGGATTGTGCTGGCGGGGGGGTTGCACAAAGAGAGGCTCAGCCAATCTCATAGTACACACGTTGTACTCTGACAAGAAAGGTTTGAATTAGATTGAATTGATGTCCACCATCAATGGTAAAAAGTTGCTTCTTAGATTTTACACTTCCAACATTCATTTGAAATACCCTTATACATTCTGGATTATTTATCCAGTATTAAATACCAGTAATACATCACCTTATAAAAAATATTTTAAATTATAGATTTGTGTAAATTTAAAACCTTTCATCCACATATTTTTCCATTGTTCAAGCATCACGTTATATCCAAAATTCCTTGCCCAGTGAATCATACAAAGTTTTACATTTTCACTTGCCAGATTCAATTTCAACAACATTTTTATAAATCTTAGCAATAATATGCTCACTACTACTTCACAGTAATATTAACAATTCATTTTTAGCAAAATCAAACTCACAACTCTTTTTTATCTGATTTAAATCATTCTTTCAGTATTTGATATGTAAAGCAACAATAAACATAACTTTCTGATTCAAATTCTTACCTCAACTTGAATGTAGTTTCACCAGAGTTTGAAGATAAAATTTCACCTAATGTCCACTAGTCTAGCTTCACCAGCATTTCTTTTCTTTAAGAAATCTTCTTGGGAAGAGCGGAGAACAGCCAAAGAGGCAACTTCATGAAGAACTTTGTTTTATACTTATTCAAAACTCTTACTACAGCACGTCTAGCAAAGTTATTATTAAAATCAATTTCAACTTTATCACACCATAAATTACTGTGCCATCGAAACCTTAATTCGTGGCCCTCTAATTCAGGTAGCCTCTTATTCTGGAGGTTCGCACACTCTTTCAACCAGGCCAGACAACATGCCTCATAATAAAATTTCAGGTCTGGTAAACCCAAACCCCCTCTTTCCTTAGCATCTTGCAGTAGTTTGTATCTAATTCTTGGTTTTCTCCCTTGCCATACAAACTTAGAAATATCTGAAATAATAAACTCATCTTTAACAAGTTTTCCTTCCATATAGGGCATTGGACCGCACTTTGAAAAAATGAAAAGCAAAAGACTGACAGCAGGAAGATTGTAAGCAGTTGCAGAACTTGATAAGGAATTCTTTTATGGACAAATTCCTCCTTCATGTCATCGTTTATTAGAAATCTTATCACATTCTAAAAATGCCACAAAGACAAATATAAATGAGGCTAATCCTAGCATTAATTACAAATTCTTATTTCTTACTATATTTTCTCTACAATTCAGATCCGGCCTCAGTAGGATAATGTAGCATTTGGGGGAAAAGATACAAGCCAAGAGAGCAGCTCCAGAGGCCAAAATCGAGAAGATCTCCACAGCCACCATGGATTTCCCTTTGGTGCTCAGGTAGGTGGGGAGGAAGGAGATCCAAACACTGCAAAAGACCAGCATGCTAAAAGTAATGAACTTGGCTTCATTAAAACTATCAGGCAATTTCCTAGCTAGAAATGCCACTGTGAAACTGACAAAGGCCAAAAGTCCTAGGTAAGAGAGGACACCATAAAACATTACAGCTGAGCCTTGCTTACATTCCAAGATGGTCTCTCCAATCAAGGAGTGGAAGTCCAAGTTAAGAAATGGGGGAGAGGTTCCCAGCCAGGTGGCACAAAGGACTGCTTGGATCAGGGGACAAGCTATGACAATGGAGTTGGTCAGAGGTTTTCCTAAGAGTTTCCTTGTCTTGTTTCCTGGCTTGGTGGCCATGAAGGCCAGAACCACCATGACAGTCTTTGCCAACACAGAGGAAACTGCAAGGGAGAAGAGAACGGCAAAGGCAGATTGTTGGAAGAGACAGGTGAGCTTCCCTGGTTGACCAATGAAGAGGAATGAGCAGAGGAAGCAGAGCAGGAGGGAGACCAGGAGGATGTAGGTGAGATCTCGGTTGTTGGCCTTGACAATTGGTGTATCATGATGTTTATAGAAAATCACGAGGACTGCAGAAGTGATCCCAGAGAGGAAAAGAACAAGAAAAACTAAAATGTATCCCAGGGTGTCTTGATAGTCAAGGAAATGGATCTTCTTGGCAATGCATTGGTCCTTGTCCTTGTTGGGATATTGGTCTTCTGGGCAGGGTTCACAGTGAGCTGCATCTGAAATCAAAATTCTTTTTCTTTTGATATGCATGTTGCCTTTCTGCTGTTGACTTGCCTACAAAGGGACTAAATAAAGAACCCACTGTGCAATTTATGGGGCATCTAAAAGAGCAAATACTTCATTTATGATAATACTGATTAGCCAGTGATGAGGATTTGTCCACTTCCAGCTATCTATTCCCTGGGCACTTCCATGGGGAATGTGGCTTTCAGGTTGAGATTACTGCCTGTTTCTCCCTCACTTTATAATGGATCCCATACAAGACCAACAGATCTTTTATCCAGGAATGCTGCTATTTTGTTTGTGTGTATATTATCCCTGCCTTAACCTCTCTGCTTTGTACTTCAAATCTGTTCATTCAGACTTTTTTGATCCCTCCTCCTCTATCGAAGAAATTTAGATAGGTGGATCTCCTTTTTCTCTGTCAGGTCTATTTCCTGAGAAGTTGATAGAGCTGATGGAAGAAGCATGCACTAAATGATAAAAAATTAAACCTTTGGACCACACTCCCCACTTCCTCAGGAAAAGATTGGAAGTTGGTTTTCCCAATTGGATGTTAGAGTAGGAGTGAGTGCATGTTGGGGATTCACAAATTCTGTCCTAAATCTATCCTACAAGCAATTGCTGAGGATTAGGAAAAGTGTCCTCTGTAGTCGGGCAGTATGAGTGGATGTCAATCTCATCAGAAATGACAACAAGAACAAACATAGATTGATTTAATGAATGTCTTCTTTTGATTCTGGAGGATTAAGATTTGAAGTCTGCTCTACCTGTCTGATTAGAAAAGGTTCCTTCTGGACAAGCATCACACTGGTAGCAGCAAACCTGCTTGCCCTCTGGAACTCTTCTCCTCTCTCCTGCCTGGCACCTGTTTTTTCCACACCTGGCAAAGGGGATGGTCTGAAATAGAAATATTTGAAATTACTTAAGCAATGAATCTGCTGCACTTCTTTCCCCATTCCTATTTTTTTATCCCTACTTCTATGTTCAGATTCTCTTCTAAAGAAAGAGTTTGCCACTGTCTATCAGAAATCAAGAACACTCCTGAGAAATTCAGGCCAAAAGCACTCCTGTAACACCAGTGGATGTGGGAGATATGACCTGGGATCTCCTCCTGCAGAGGAAAGCTTGTGACTGAACTACAACGTTTCTTAAAAAAAGAACCATGAGGATACAATTGTGCATCAATGGTCCATGAAAATCAATGTTGCTTTTTGTAATTCCATCCTTTGTTTCAAGCAGATGTTGTTCCCAAGTCTAACCCTTTGTGGAAAGACACAAATCAAACCTCAAATGTGTTACATGCAAAACTGATTTTTCATTAAATGACTGCCATAATTTCTGACTCAATTGGTATTTTTTCAACTTAGGAAGATGTTCTCCATCTCAGGAAGTGAACAAATATTTCCCTGAACTTACAATACTTCCTTGCAGCTCACCTTTGTGGCCCAGACGATTCCATCAGACTTAATGGTGAAATCCCAGCCTGGGGGAGCCTCAGGATTGACTTGCCCAACCTTCACGGGAACAAAAGATTGATTGGGGAGGAAAACCCAATTGAGAAGATCATAACGTGCGGTTCCCAGTCCATCTACTGAGAAGGAGACGTCATCTCCAGCACTGTTGTTGAAGTGGACATTCCTCAAATAGGCAAGAATCTGAAAGAAAGGAGACCTTCAGAAATTGGAGTATTTGGGCTAGAGCTACAAATGAGACACCAAGGCTTTTTTCAATAACATGGTGACCAACTTGAGAAGATGGGTTTATATCTAAAATTCTAGAGGTGTTCTCTTGGAGATCTGAAGAATCAGGAGCAACACCAAATATTGAACCCTGGAACTTTAACAGTTTCACTTCATTACTGGTCATGGTTTCCAACTCCAGTTTCATCAAAATACAAGATACACAAAAAATTTATGTCCACACTTCAAATTTAACTATAGAATTTTCCTGTTGTGATACTTGGCTACGTGCAGTTGATTATTATTATTATTATTATTATTATTATTATTATTATTATTATTATTATTATTATTATTATTATTATTTACACATCTCAATCACATCTTTAGCAGTACTGAGACATGTTTGTTACAAATACACATGTCTATGCATTTCTAATCATTTATATACATTTCTATACTTTCTTCTTATCTCTACTATTCTTAATCCTATTGTCCATCCATTCCTACCAATTTTCTGATACTGCAAAATACTCTGAATCTTCTTTTTCTTTTAATTCTAGTGTGAGTTTGTCCATTTCCACACAATCTAATATCCTTTGGATTACCAAATCCTCTGACGGTATGCTATCCTTCTTCCAGCATTGTGCAAACACAATTCTTGCTGCCGTTGTATATTGCAAAATCATGTATTTTATCTTTTTATTATATTTCCCCTTAATTATCCCTAAAAGGAACAATTCAGGTTTAAATTCTATTCAACACTTTGTTATTTTGTATAATCACTTTTGTTTTCTAATCCAATACTTTTTTGCTTCTTGGCATAGCCACCATGAGTGAAAGAAGGTACTTTGTCCCTGTTTGCATTTCCAACAACTTAGGCTCAAATTTGGGTACATTTGTGCCAACATTGCTGGGGCCAAATGCTAATGACAAAACATTTTACATTGATTTTCTTTATATGCAACAGATTTTGTTATTGTATAGTTTTTACTCCAAATTTTTTCTCAATCCTCTAATTCAATATTATGTCCAAAGTTTTTGGACCATGTTATCATGGGTCCTTTTACTAATTCCTCTTCCATGACAAATTTTAGTAAATAATTATATAGTCTTGTTATTAATTTCTCCTCTGGGACTAACAAGATTTTATCTGGTTGTTGAAATTCAGTATCAAATCCATATTTCATTGCATCTTCTTTATGTTTTGCTAGTAACTGAAGGTATGGCCACCAATTTATAATTATTCCCTGATATTTCAATTCCTGATTCGTTTTTAATTTTCCTTAATTATCTAAAATTTCATTGTATCTACCCATTTTACCTACATCTAGTGCAGTTTTGAATAGTTTCTTTTGCCTAAGAGCTTGCTAATTTAAACTGCATTTAATAGTGAGTGCCATACCATGTGCATTAATCACACAGGTGGCAAGAAAGTAGGAGCAGGCAGGCACAGCACAGCTTAAGTAGACAGTAAACACAGTGTCAAACATAAAGATCTCAAGTGCCTATATACAAATGCACAATTGGAATACTAATTCTGCACCAAGTGAGAAATCAAATAAGTTCCTAACCAACCTAGCTGACAACTTTGTTGTTCAAAAGGTAGAGGGTATAACTAGAGGGACAGCCATACTGGACTTAATTCTTACAAACAGAGAAGAAGTGATAGAGGGAGTTGTAACTGCAGGAACCTTGGGTGAGAGTGACCATGTCATACTAGAATTCAACATAACACAAACACAAGCAACAGAACATAATGACACCACAGTCTTGGATTTTAAAAGAGCTGATTTCAATACACTCAGAGAGAACTTGGGAAAGATTGCATGGATGAAAATCCTAAAGGGGAAAACAACTCAAGAATCTTGGGAAACTCTAAAAAGTATGATCATAGGAGCCCAGACCAGCACAATACCACTGAGAAAGAAAACCAAGGAAAACAAGAAGAAACCAGCATGGCTGCACAAAGATCTCTCTGGCAAATTGAAAGAAAAAAAGGACAAATACAAAAAATGGAAAGAAAGACATACAACTAAGGCAGAATGTCAGCAGATAGCCAGAATCTGCAAAGACGAAGTTGGGATAGCAAAGGCTCAGAACGAACAAAGACTTCCAAGGAAAGATAATAAAAAAAAGTTTCTTCCAAGATATAAATAACAAGAAAAAGGAAACAATTCATCCACTAAAGAGAGAAGATGCCAAGGAAGTAACAGGCAACAGAGAGAAAGCAGAACTGCTTAACTCATTCTTTACATCCATCTTCACACAAAAAGAAACTATAGCTCAACCCACCAAAAACATAACTGTAAAAGACAGGTCAGAAATAAAAGTTAAAATAAGCAAAAAAAATAGTAAGAGAACACCTGTCTGATCTTGATCAATCAAGATCAAGGGAAGTACTAATACCACTCTATAAAGCCTTAGTAAGACCATACCTAGAGTACTGCATCCAGTTTTGTCCACCACATTATAAAAAAGATGTTGAGACTCTAGAAAAGGTACAGAGAAGAGCAACCAGGATGATTAGGGGACTGGAGGCTAAAACATACAATGAACGGTTGCAGGAACTGGGCTTGGCTAGTCTAGTAAAGAGAAGGACCAGGAGAGACATGATAGCGGTCTTCCACTATTTGAGGGGTTGCCACAGGGAGGAAGGGGTCAAGATATTTTCTAAAATGCCTGTAGGTCAGACAAGGAATAATGGATGGAAACTGAACAAGGAGTGATTTAACCTGGAAATAAGGAGAAATTTTTTGACACTGCGAACAATCAACCAATGGAACAGTTTGTCTTCAGAAGTTGTGGGAGCGCCATCACTTGAGATTTTTTTTTAAAAAAAGAATTTAAAAAATGAATCAATGATTTCTAGCACAACCATGAAATTTCTCACTGACTTTGTCTTGCTCATAGTCACAGGCAGCAGAACGCAGGAACGAGGTCTGGCCAAGTGGGGCCATGTGGAAGGAAGCACCTGCCCTGATTGGTCACTTCAGAGACGTCCATCTTTTGATGATGGATTTAAGTGGGGACCTTATTAGGACCTCTTGGAGTCCTGCTGTAGTTGATGTAGAGAAATAGAATAACAGGTTTGGGAGGTACCATGGAGGTCCTCTAGACCAATTCCCTGCTCAAACAGGAGACCGTCTATCATTTCAGACAAATGGCTGTCCTGCCTCTTCTTAAATGCCTCCAGCGATGGGCCAGCCATGACTTCTAAATGCAAGCTGTTGCCAAACATGTTTGCAACATTATGTCTGCAACATTATGGAATTTCTCCTTAATTCTAGGTTGCTTCTCTGCTTGATTAGCTTCCATCCATTATTAAATAGAAGCTGTTTGCCCACAGCAAGCTGAGTATTGCCACAAATGATAACAAAAAAGGTAGAGGGTCATCCAGGATACTAAGCCATAGAAACACAAACCAAGGTTAAAACAAATTAAGTGTATTTTTACAAGTTGGATTCAAGGCACATTTGGAGCGAAACAGAGATTGTTCTGCAGATATGCCCATTAACATTTCAACTGACCTGCTGAAATATGATGCAAAAGCACACCCAGATTTCTATCCTGCTTTGGGCTGACAACTCTTCCTCAGAATGGTCAACTTCTGAAATTTGGGCATCTGTTGAAGGCTGTTCAGGACTTTACAAAACGTCTTTTCTCTCTAGAACCTATGGGATCCCGGTTTGGTTTACTTCTTTTCCCTCTCTACCCTCTTTCAATAAAATATGGTTCTTAACAGTTTTAAATAATTGCTGCTTTAATATGCTTTGACATGGATTGATGCAGGGAATATGCAGATGTTGAATCAGTAGCTGGAGAAATTCATATGGGGAGCTTCCTCTCTAAGCATGTTAATGAGATAAAAAGTCACAGATATTACCTGCCATGACTGGACATTTGAGATCCGCTTTCCAAACCTCATCATGGTTGGTTGGGCTCTGGATCCATACATTGCATGTAAAGCATGTGCCACAGCATAAACAGCATTGTAGATATTGTAACTTTCTCCTGTCATGCTCCTTTCAAAAGTGTAATTTGGCAGATTCTGCACCTTCTCATTTTCTGTACATTGTTTCCGCCCCATTGGAGGGGTCTTGCCTGGTTTGTGGATCTTGCAGCCAAAGACTGTTTCCCACCACAGAGGAAGAAAAACATCTCCTTGTGGGTTTAAGGGGTCTAAAGACAGGAGGAAAGGGGTGAATTCTGAGACATCCCCAGAGTGGTCCCTAAAATGCAAAGCCCCATGGAAAGTCTTCAGATATTTCAATATTTTCATGCTAGGTTTCCAATGGGAAGTTAATATCCAAATTTTCCTAAATGGTATATTTTTGATTTTTTGAAAAACAGCCACAGTCCCTTGTACACTGGTAATAACAGTGGAGTCACCAAATAAAAGAAACACTTCAATTTTAGACCAGATTATGAAAATATGTATTAATTTATTGAGTGTAATTTGAAAATCATTGGTTTTCAATCTTTCAGTGAAGGCCAGGCAGATCTCCTTTTCCCTGAGCATTGGCGTCAGAGTTGAAATGAAATGTTCTCCATTATCACTTTCAGAGGCCAGAAGCCCAACCCAGTTCCACTGGAAATACAGAAGCAGCTGGACTAAACCCACATACTGAGAAGATTCCTTGGGATTTATCCAGAAGAAGGAAGGAAAATCAATTCTGTCTCCTACACTGAACTCAAAGCCAACACCAAGCTGGAAAAAGGGACACAGTAAAGTATTTCAAAGACAAAGAAAACTTTTTTTGATGACTTTAGGGGTTACCATTGTGTAGTTTAAGGCCCCAGCAGTCAAGCAGATTCTCTTTGAGTGGCCAGCTTAATCTCCTTCCATTCCAGGTACACATTTTTATTGGTTGTCAGAAGACAAGAGAAGAAACCATCAACATGAAACGGATAATAAATGAAACTAAAACAATGACTACCCTTTTATCAAATATAAATTAAGAGTCACATGCTCATGATATGTCCTCTTTGTGCTTTTTACCTTTGTCTAATGTCTCCATAGTATATCCAAGAGACCTTTCTTACCTGTGGGACCTTAAAGATGCTGAAGATGGAGGCCATCAACCTTGAGGATTTGGCATTGAGTCCACCAATGACGGACAGCAGAGTGTCCTTCTGGTCACATTTGTAACCTGGAACCACTTGGCCTCGTGAGGAGAGCATGGAGAGGCTGTTTAAGGAAATAAATATCTCACTCTGGAAATGGCCATAGATGTGGAAGCCAAGGGTGATGTTGGGGAGCAGAAGAAAATCCTTATTGACTTGGGAGACAGCAAACCTCAATGCAAGGATCTGCTGGTAGTTACCGGGGATGTGTCTATAGTGAGAAAAATACAGGGAATATTACAGTTAAGGTTGTTTCCTTGTAGAGTTTACTTCAGTGTTGGGTTGGTGCAGCAACAACCACATTTTATTGGGTTTGGGTTTTTTTTTAAGGATCTTTCTCAGCTAAAC